AGTTGCGTGCACGTTTAAGTCTGTTTAGCAGCAAATTTCCAGAGAAGCAGATTTTTTTTTGCAAGCGCTTGGCTATTTCAAGATATGGTGTTACTGATCATGACCACCTCATCTCGAAGGTTGCTATTCCTAGTCCATGACGAGAAGCTACCTTACCAACTAGGCTACAGAGATGTGTTTACCACATCTTCGTACTATGGTAAGTTGCTTGACTCAAATTTCACGGGATGATATGACCAACATTAGCTTCATAGGGAAGACCAAGTGAAATTGGGTCAAAACTACGGTCAGTCTGAGGGATGAATGCAAGGAACTCATGCATCGCTGCTGCATCGAAATTAGTGAAAAATGATTGAATAAGAGATCTAAAATGTGAAATATTTTCGAAACTTTTACTGCGACTTTGAAATTGTTATAATTTTTGTTATGGCTTGTTAATAACTTGGAAAATTTTGCAGTAACACAGTACTGCTGTTTTTGAGCAAATGATATCAGGGAAATACGCAAAATTTTAGAGATCTACACATATTCTTCAAAATAGGAGGCGGAGTTACTTCAACTGGATTAATAAGATTTGAAAACGGCTCAAAGAACTGGTTAAATCATATGTGAAAGCGTTACCATAAAACTCTACTACTCTGTATTGACATATAAAATGCGTTTATTCGGCGCTCATTAACGGAATTGTTCATTCTGAAGTCTTTTGAAATTTTTTCTCGTCCGGGATAATTCTGGCCAGGAACTGAATTGTGGAAGCAGCCAACCACCTTTATAGAGAGGAATTTTCAGTAAACAATCCAGCATATTCTGAAATGCACGTATCATATGCCGAAGTGCTTTTATGTTGTATGCGTATGCAGCAATGCTGCGTATTTTGAAGCGGAACTTCCAAAACAAATGCTTTCAAACAGACATGGTGGCGAGGCCGGCCACTTAATGCTTGGTCACTATTAGAATTTGTCCTGGGCATCTTTTTGAAATGAAATATTGCAGACCACAAAAAGAGAATATCTCAAAACCTTTTGCGTAATGCTTGTTTGCTTCGGAGCGCTAAACAAACAGCAACGAAAAAAAAAGAATGGGAAATGAAATGGAGAGAACCCTGAGTTAATTTTGCATCCCACGCTCGTGTTGCTTCCTCTGATTAAAATAAGGAGAAAGGGATGAGAGGGAATTGAAACTGAAAGTTCATAGTAATGGAAGCAGCCCAAGTTAATCATGAAAGTAAATGTGTCGTTCTCTTCTTCAACGTACACATTACTAATCATTTAAAACTACCTCAGCTGCGGTTAATTTGTATCGAACTGATACATGTTTCTTCTAAACAAAGAAATAATTTTTCTTCTCCGCATGCTTGGATCAGCCGCAGTACTTGACACTATCTAGTTCAGTCTTTCACTTTCGCACTGCAGTGAGATGGCATAGAGTCAGAAATCTATGGAAGTGCCTAAAACAGGATACATAATAATATCTTATTTCAAAAGATAAGATTTAAATAAGTACTTTAGCGATTTTGCGACTGCAGGAGTAAGGCGATAAACTATCTGAACCAGAAGGTGATTCATAAACTTTATTTTACTGGAAGACCTCACAATGAACTCTAAAATTACAGGACACTTTGAGGAAAAACGACGATTATACATCAAATGCGGCCAGCTCAAGCTGTGTTAGCGATTTCAAGCAGCAGGTGAGTAGAGTTTTATTCAGTTTCAGTTTAGTTTCATTCTTCGCTTTTGCATACTGCGTAGCCGCTGGACTGATTTCAGCTGTCTGGCTAGCTTTTTTCACAGTGTATTTTTAAAAATTTCGAAGGGCAATGAGCACTTGAAACATTTTTTGGGAAAATAAACACCAAAAAAAAACACCAAAAAATTCTCTGACAGATTAGAAAATAATTGGCCAACGCACGGGCTGCCCGTGCGAAGATGCGTTTTTTGC